ATTGGTAAATTAATGCTCAAGAGAGTTTAATCTATATAATGCTTGGAGAAAGCATATGAATACTAAAGTGAAATCAACATGATGATATAGGTTTAGAAATACCACATGTGGAACCCAATTTGATTTATACCACTTGCAATAGGTGGTGGATATTTGAAGTATGATGCTTAACTCCGGGGACTCCATTTTCCTTGCATTGAGACTACTACACACATGATAAACTTAAAAATATGTTAGTCTCAAAGCATCCAACTTGTAGAGTAACCTCCCCCTAAATTTGTGCACACAAGTATGAAATACTTGTAGGAGATATGCACATTGATTTTAGAATAAAAAATACCACTTGAAAGATGACATCACATGAATGTGAGAATCATTTTTGAAAGTGATATTCGGAAAAAATTATCTACAATTTAGACTTTGGCATATATTGGATGAACAATTGTAAAACAAGTTATGTGCCGTGCTCCTAAACAATTTAAACCATGTAGGTTTGCTCCAAGGGTTAAGAGTAAAACCGAGCAAGCCTACCATAAGATATACCAAGTGTATGCAAGATAAAAGATTAAACATGCAAATGCAAACCTAGGCATAAAAATGAACTAGATGCTAATTGAGATTGCAAGAAATTAAATCTAGTTACCCAACATGGGAAGGAGAATTTTGGTCCATAGTATTCACTAACCCACTTGGCAATTACCTTATCCATAATGATGCACCCCATGAAATACACCCATACTTTGCCAAGTCTCTAAATTCCCCGAAATCCATCGGACTTCTCACTTCTCTTTCAGGATCCAAACCTTCTTGATGCTCTTCATGTTGGAAATAATCTCCTTTGGAACCCAAACGCGTTTGGTCCCATTGTTGGCTTGCTTGTTCACCTTGATGGCCACCACCTTGTCATTTTTCTTCTTCTTCAAGAGATAAGGTGTGGAGGCCTTTTTGTCCACCTTGTTGGTGTAGGTGTTGGAGAGCTTCCTTGTTCCCTTTTTATTTTTCTCTTTCTTCTTAGCTCATCTCCCATTTTTTACCTTGCACTCATAGGACTTGTGACCTTCTTTGTGGCACACGTAGCAAACTATAGTTTATCCTTCATCAAGCTTCTTCACTCCCTTGACGGTGTTATCTTGATGAAGTTGGGCTTGCTCTGTTTTGCCTTTTACTTGAGTCAAGTCCTTGGTAAGGCGAACCACTTCTTGCTTAAGTTGCTCATTCTCTATTGCAACCTCTTGTATGCATGTATCTACAACAATTTTCTCAATATAAACTTGGTTGCACAAGGGTGAGTCTAAATATAAATCATTGCAAGAAGTAGAAGCATCATTTTTAGGCATGTCAAAGATAGAACTTTTCTTTTTTGGTGCCTTGGTGAGGGTTATACTGATAGCTTCAAGATTAGCAACTTTATTAGTTAGCTCATCACAATGTTTGCACATAGTTTTTATTTTAGCAAGCAAACTTTTATAAGCATCTTGAGAGCTAGCTAACTTTTCTTTTAATTTTTAATTTTCTTTACAAGATGCTCATCGTTTATTGTACATGCATTTGTTGTTGCGCTTAGCCTCAAGTTGCTCAATTTTAGTAGATAGTTTAATATTGATATTAGCAAATGTCTCATATTATTCGAGCAAGGTTTTATATGCATCTTGTGAACTATCTAGCTTTTCTTGCAACATTTTTAACTTCTTTTGTTGACTAGTGCAACTTTTAGCATATTTAAGATTTTCTTGCACAAGTTGCTCATAAGAAGGTAGCTCATCATCACTATCACTAGGGATAGACTTTTTGTTACCTCGTGCCATAAGGCACACTCGTGAAGTGTTTGATGTTGAGTGCTTGTACCCTCGCCTCTTGTGATGGTCTTCTTTTTCACTTGAAGAATCATCCCATTACCTTATTGATGTGAGGGATTTGTCATTGCACGCCTTCTTCTTTATCTTGGGTGTGGGCTTGTTTAGACAAACTTCCACAAAGTGCCCCAACTCGCCGCATTCATAGCATCATTTCTTTCTTTGCTCGTTTCTTTGATTGGTGAAGATGAAATCTTAAATTTGGATGGGCACACCCTTGACATTGAGCCTTTTGATCATCTTCTCCACCTTATTGATAGGTTTGATTGATTTTTCATCAAGGTCGGAGGTGGAGGGGAAAGATTGATCATCATCACTTGATTCTTTATCATCCTCATCCTCATCTTCTTCTTCTTCACTTGAGGAGCTTGAGCTTGAGCTTGTCTCAACTTGCTTGCCCTTCATCTTCGTTTTCTCACTACATGCGAGAGCTTTGCCTTTGCATGATGATGAGGCTTCTTCTTGACCATTTTCCATGACATTTCAAATGCCACTATCTTGCCAATGACTATGGCGGGGGTCATGGTGCTCAAGTCCTCCATGTTGTGAAGGATGATGATAATGCTTGTATATTTCTTTTGTGGTAGCACGGAGATGATCTTCCTCACGATGTCCGCATCATCTAGCCTCGTTAATCCTATTGAATGGAGCTCATTGAGAATTAGATTCAAATGAGAATATATATCATGAACAAGCTCATCATCATTCATTTTAAAGGAATCATAATTTTGTTTAGCTAGACAATGTTTTTGCTCACAGACATATTTAAACCAAATTTCAACCAAATTTCATGTGCCGTATTTAAAGTGAACACTTGGTTAAACACATCCATACTAAAAGATTCAAACAAGCAATTTTTAGCTCTAGCATTGAAATAAATTTCTTTTTCTTCACTCTTTGTGGGTTTATCGAGATTCTTAATGGGTTTCATCCTGTCACGAGTGACTCTCCAAACACCCAAATCTACCACCTCAAGGTGACAAGTCATTCTAGCTTTATAGTAGAAGTTAGTGTCGTCAAAGTACGGAGGCCTAGAGATATCTATCCCAACCACTCTAAATAGCGTCGGCTCAACGGCGGTGAAGTCAAAGGTCCAAATTGAGCCAACCGGCTCTGATACCAATTGAAAGGGACCGTGACGCTTAAGAGAAGGGGTGAATTAGGCAACTTAAAACTCTTACTCTAAACTATGGCCTTTTTTTTCTAACCTTAGCAAAACCTATGCAAAAAGATAAACTATCTAAATGTGCAACTACGGTTTTGCTAGTGTGTTGCTATCTCTACCGCAAAAGGAGTTATGCAAACAATGTAAATGCGGAAGTTAAAGTGTCGTAGAGATATGCAAACTCCCGTCGACGACCGGTATTTTTTACCGAGGTATCGAGAAGCGCAAGCTTCTCCCTAGTCCTCGTTGGAGCCCCTCGCAAGGAATCCTCGCAAGGGTCAAGCTCCCGGTCGGTTAACTCCGTGGATAGCTTCGGGCCTTCCCCACGCCGCAAGTGGGTCTCCGACGTGCCTTCCGCAAGCCTCTCCCGCATGCTCCCCACCGTCTTCACTATCAAGCTTCCGGTCGAAATGTCGTGGGCCTTGTTCCCTCCGGTACACGGTGGCGGCCATACCACAAACGTGGTTGGTGTGATCTCGCAAGACTACAAGCCCCTCCGATGTATAACAATGGTGCGCGCAAGCACCGAGTGGTAAGAGGTATGCAAACCTCACTAAACACTAGGCCTAAACCTAAAGCAAGCGCATAAGCGGTGGTCTAATCAACCTAAACATTTCGCAAAGCACCTACGCTAATCACCTAATGAATCACTAAGCACTATGTAAGTGGAGATCACTAAAACGGTGTATCAACACCCTTGGTATGTTTTCTCAGCTCTCCACCCCTCAACTGGCCGGTTGGGGGTCTATTTATAAGCCTCATAGAGAAAGTAGTCGTTGGGGGCGAAACCCAGCTTTCTGCTACTGACCAGACGCAGCTGTCGTACTGACCGGACGTGTTCGGTCGTCTCGACCGTTGGAGCGCACGAGTTGATCAGACTCTGGGCTGAGTCCGGTCATCATCGATCGGACGCGTCCGGTCGTGCTGGCGCCGCTCTAGAACCTTTCTGGACTCGATCAGACGCCACTGCCTGGCGCGTCCGATCGTCCGCAGCCGTTGCGTCCTGTCACGCTGAATTATTGTCGCGACGATGAACAGTGAAGTCCGTGCGTTCGATCGCTGCTGCTGACGCCTGCTGTTGCCGAGCAACTGATCGGACGTGTCCGGTCACTCATAGGGCCGCGTCCGGTCACTTGTGTGGAGCTCGTTTCTTTGCGATCTTGCATCCAGCTCGGTTTCTATCTTCTTGTTTAAACTTTGCTTGATATCTTGGGTCTTCTCTTGTGCTTTCAGGATCTTGCTTATGGTGTTGATCATGGGATCATCATGTTGTTTTCGTCCAAGTCACGTCTTGTAACTTATTGAACTACAAAACAATTACTTGCAAATTCATTAGCCAATTTGATTGTGTTGGTCATCAAACACCAAAATCCAAAGAAACCCAAAGTAAATGGACCTAGGATCCATTTTGCTTACAGCATGGTGATGGCATCCTGGCGTGCGGTGGCTAGAGTGTTCGCGTCGATGTCACGGTGGTTGTTTTGCTGCTGCTGCTTGGGGGCTATAGCCAATGTGTTTGCTTTTTTGGTGTGCACACTCAACCTTGTTTGGGCTATGCCATTCCATCATTGCATTTGCCCACTGCATTTGTGATGCTCCTGAACCAGTCGAGCCTGCACAATCTTTTGAGGCATGACTGATGTTTGCACACTTTTGTTATTATTACTAGTTTACAGGAGCTTCAATTAGCTTTTAGTAGGTTATATAAATTCCAATAAGCATATTTGCCAGCTCACGAATCCCAGGGCGTTCGAAAAATAAACACCTATTATTTGACACCATGGTTTGCCAAATGAAAAACAGGTCACTAGTACTATATATCTCAGTTATGTTAAGTATGTATCAATAAGATTTCTCCAGCACTGAACTCTTACTTTTTCCCCAGAAAATGGGTAGCACAACATTAATGGCAATCTTTATGCGTTTATCCTTCCTGATCAGTTAAACACACAATGTTAATAGAAATACATCAATGGCTATCCTTATGTCTTCCCTTTAACAGTTTGGCAGGTTGTACTTGGTGAACCTTCAGCGTCAGCTTGAGGCTCAGCGACCACCGTAACCGTCAATGGCTCGGCCACATCACTGTGTGGCTCTTCAGCCTGAACGCTACTGACTCCATCACCTTCGACTGCCTGACCTTCCTGTGGTGTGTTGCCGTCAACAAGTCCCTCCTGGTGACGATGTACATTCAGAGACTCCTCTACAGCAGTTTGTGCTTCCAAATCCAGGTCAATGCTGGTTGCTTTGGGGGCTGGAAGGAGCGAGACTCGACAAAGGGGGCAGGTGGTGTTTGCAGAGAGCCAGTGGTCGATGCAGTTGATATGGAAGGTATGTCCACAAGGAGGTATCTTCTGAAGCCGCTCATCCGGTTGATAGTCTGCTAGGCAGACAGAGCACCTGTCAACCATGATCAGGTGTTCAGAAGAAAACACAACTTAATGAAATAACAATGCAGGGACAAATGGCAGTACAAAGAAATGGCTAACATCAAGGGAAAATGGTCAAACAGGCGTGTTTTTATATGTTTTCCCCTCGCTAGCAAGCAGAATGGGGGAATTAACAAATGTAGGCGGGAAAACCCCTTCAGGCCTTCAGTAAGTATCTTTTACCAAAGTTTTACCAAATGACTCGTGAATTTTCCTCATATAGGATTTAGGTATCAAGATGTCCAAAACTAGATATCAAAAGATTAACTCACAGACTACATCTGAACCCAAACATGCAATTACATACTGATTGCTAAACATAGCACTACCACTGCCTATATTGGAAAGGTAGAGCATGTGTTTGGAAGGATCCCTATTTGTTACTGCATTGGCAATTGGCATTGTATTATTCTTTCACTGACACGATTTGACAAAAGATTTCAACCTATCAATTATCTAAATAGTGGCGAGCAGTACCAGTACCGAGGTTATTGATCTCCTTATGCAAAGAGACCGGGATATGTATATAAATATTTTTTTTCTCTATCTAGTGGCCAGAACTAGACTGCTACCATCCATTACCAAGTTGACTCTTGAGTTATTTGATAGGTAAAAGAATCAGAAACTGGACAACAAAGCTATTATATCACTAATACTAGATCAAGAGTTTAGAAGTAAATCACTGACTGTGTCTCCTTGATCAAGAAACTCTCTTTGAAGATAACCACTGGCAACATTTCCCGCATCGCCTTCTTTAAACCACACTCCAGCTATAAATGCAGATTTCGAACACAAAACAGAAAGAATGTTTAACATCCTGAGCATACCAACAAACTTGGAGAAACCAACTAATTTATCAGAAGAACAAGAGGGCTGGCTTACTCTGGTATTATCTCCTCGTATCAAATTATTTGTCCTCATCCGCAAGGACTGCCAATTGGCCCTGCTCCGCCTCAGGTAGAAGAGGTAGAAGAAGAGAAGCAAGACAAATGTAAAGAAGACAGGCACGGAGAAGATGAAGGCCTGGTACAGCTTGAGCTCAGGCGATTCGGCTGAGCAGTAGTCTGGTGGATCTGGAGAGGTGCAAGACATCGTGAAATCACAATGCCCTACCGGCAAATAGCAACACAATCTACCTTTTAGTCCCAGCTGGTCCAAGAATTCTGGGTAAACCTTGTTAAATCTAGTGAGGTAAAGCTACACAAATGTGGCCAACGAACACTTGGGAGTTCCAATGAGCCAGACGGCAAACACTTACTATGCTGATCTCCCCCAAAATACAACAACCGGAAGTTTATCAATTGATACTAGCACGCGGAAGGGAAAGGACAAGGTCGAGTAAACACGAGTAAGCATTAGCGAGGGTGTCCTAGCCACTAAACGTCACAAGAATTGATGCCGTCACTACCAGTGATTTCTCTCTCTCGAGTGCATAGACTTCGTAGTGTGAAATAAACAAAACAATACAAGGGATAATCGAATATACTCTACCTAACTGCTCTCGAAATCTTTAGGAGAGAGCGAGAGAGAGAAAAAATTGGAGGACACTCTGCGCTGTCCCCACTATGTCGACCTGACAGCGCAATCCGCAAGAACCAGCAGCACGCGGAGAACTATAACTATTTGGAGGCAGCGGCATTCAGGGGACGGATTCAACGCTGCTGGGCATGGAGCGGGTGCGGACGGATCGCGGTCGGGACTCGAACGGAGGAGCTGAGATCAGGGCGGCGAGGGAGTGAAGTGGGATCGCGGCAACAGGGGAGGCGGCAGGTTTCGCGTGGGGCACGAGCAGCACGGATCAGAAGGCGCCGGGAAGGGGCGGCGAGAGGGACTACCGCGAATGCGAGAAGCGGCGGCGCCCGACCCGGGGCGGGGCGGCGGGGATCCGGTGGGGGATGTGGGCTTGGAGGGGAAGAGGAGGAGACGGGCTGGCTGGGTTGGGACTTGCCAGTACCGGAGAAGTTGGCAACGGTAGAAAATACCCGCAAACCTACGGATATGAAATCTGATGGGCACGGATATGGGTTTAAGTATGTGCTCGTGGACACGGGCGTGGGCATGACTCTCAACGCAACGGATATTTGCTTATGGGCGTGAAAAAATGATATCTGCACCTGCAAACCCGCCAGACCCGCTTCAATACCTGACATGTGGCCCCAACTGTTAATGTATGTAAGACTGGTAATGTTAATGTGTGTAAAACTTATTTATTTGCTTGGTTAGAACTTTATCTAATGATTTTTCTCTCTTACCTGATGATTCTTTAACATGGTGAAAAACTAGAATTGAGAGTTCGTATTTATGTGTTGCCTGTCTATTGTATAAATGCTATGCGGGTACACGGGCATGCGCTATCCACGGATAGCGAGCGCGGGCGCGGTTTTCTGCCCGTGGCGGATAGTGGATGCGGGGGCGGGCGTGGATTTTAGCTCGCGGATATGGATACCTGAACCTCGTATCCGCGTGGATTTTACCCGTTGCCAGAGAGAGGGGAGGTTGGGAGGAGAAGAACGTGGCGAGCTGCCGAGTTGGCGAACAAGTGGCGTTTATCCGGTTCTGCTAGTACTCCCTCCGTTTTGAAGAAAAAATATAGATCTATGACAAATCAAACTTTTTTAATTTAATCAAATTTATAGAAAATAATAGCAATATTTATATTTATAAATAGTTTACTATGAATATATGAGTACATTTTTAATTAATCTTATTTGGTATCATAAGCATCGGTATTTCTTGAATAACGAGAAGTGAGAATCATATTCTTTTCAAGACGGAGGAGATATTTACATTTATAAATAGTTTACTATGAACATACGGGTATGCTTTAATTAATCTAATAATACTCCCTCCGTATAGAAAAAGGAAGGCGTTCTGAGACTTCTGCTCGTTTGCGTAAAGGATGTCGCCGAGCGCTTGCATGCGTGATTTGGGACGGCTTTGCCCCTGCCGCTTCGCACGTCGTGTCGCCTGTTTATCGCTCATTTAATCACCGCGTACAAATAATAGCGCAGCCTCGCTTCGCATGCCGCGCCGCTCGCTCGCCTCCTTTCGTCCTCAACCGCTCGTCTATCCTGGCCTGGCCGCTTCCTCACCGACGCTGCCCTCGCTGCTTCCTCGCCTATGCCGTGCTCGTCGCTTCCTCACCGACACCGCGCTCGCCGCTTCCTCGCTCCATGGATGCAACGGCGGACTCTGTGATGTCTGAAAGCTCTAGTTTTATTTTGATGAATTGATAAAACCCTAAGTGCTAACCTAGTTTATTAAAGTGATTATGAGATAGGTGGCACATTCCAAGTGGTGAAGCAAATGAAGATTATGACATGATGACGATGATGCCATGGTATTGGTGCTTGGACTTAGAAAAGAAGAAAGAGAAAAACAAAAAGCTCAAGGTAAAGGTGAAATTTATAGGAGCTTTTTGGTTTAGTGATCGAGACACTTAGCGAGTGTGATCACATTTAGGATCGATAGCCGTACTATTAAGAGGAGTGAAACTCGTATCGAAATGCGGTTTATCAAAAGTGTCACTAGATGCTCTAACTTATTGTATATGCATTTAGGATCTAGTGGAAAGCTAATACCCTTAAAATGTTTGTGAAAATATGCTAACACACGTGCACAAGGTGATACACTTAGTTGTTGGCACATTTGATCAAGGGTGGTGATGTTTAGGGTCAAAAAGAGCTATTTCGTATTGACCAGACTCTGCCTTGGGTAGTGATCGGACTCTGACCCTGTGTCCAGTTAGTGGTGCGCAGTAAAGACCGCCCTCGGTCCCTTGATCGGACGCTGAAGTGAAAAAGGGACCGGACGCGCAGGGGGTGCGTCCGGTCACCTAGTGACAAAAGCTGACGCAAGCAACAGAGAGAGAGACTGTGTTGACCGGACGCTTGCCTGGGTCTGGTCATGTGCCACCGGATGTCTCTAGAACCTTACTGGAAACGACCGGACGCCAGTGATTGTGCGTCCGGTCACTTCGAGCAGCGCGTCCGGTCACAACTTAAGTGCACCGATGATCGTTGAGATCGAGCGATCAACATTTGAAGTCAGGGACACGTGGCGAATATCTAAAGACCGGACGCTGGGGTCCTACATCCGGTCAAACCGACCGTTGCATCTGGTCGCTCCGATTTTTTAGGGGGTAGAGGAGCCAACAACTCTATTCGTGGGGGCTCTCTATTTAAGTCCCATGGTCGGCTCAAACTCATACTCTTGACCATTTACATTAACATAGCAACCTTGTGAGCTTAGCCAAAGCCCTCATATTCATCTCCATCATTGATTCAACATCTTTGTGAGATTGTGAGAGAATCTAAGTGCATTGTTTGAGTGATTGCATCTAAAGGCACTTGGTGATCGTGTTTCGCTGTGGGATTCACTTATTATTCTTGGTGGTTGCCGCCACTTAGACGGTTTGAAGCAGCGAGGATCGTCGAGCAGAGGTTGGTGATTGTCTCCGGCTCCGATCGCGGTGATTGTGAGGGGTCTTGTGCCTTCCCCGGCGGAGCGTCGAAAGGTAACTCTAGTGAATTGCTTGTGTCATTGAGTTACCTTACTTGTGGGTAGGTTCTTGTGGTATCCAATTGTGTGGACGAGGCTCGTGCAACATCTCTTAGCTACCGAACCACCAAGTGTTGGTCGACACAACGGGGACTAGCGTACCAGCAAGTGTTGGTCAACACAATGGGGACTAGCGTGCCGGCAAGCACGTGAACCTCGGGAGAAAAATTGATTGTCTCTTGCCCTTTGGTATTCTCCCGGTGATTGAATTGATATTCTTCTTGTAATTGGTTCACTACTCTACGCGGTGGTATAATCACCCTACTCACTTATTTATATTCTAGCAAATTAGTTGTAGCAAGCTCTTTGGTGTAGCTAAAATTGAGAGCTTGCCTTGTAGTTTAAGTTCATATAGTGGAGCTCTTTAGTATAGCAAGTATGAGAGCTCTTAGTGAGTAGTAACTTAGCAAAATTGTGTGTATAGTGATCATAGTAACTAAAATTATTGGATAGGTGGCTTGTAACCCTTGTAGAGCTAGAGCAAGTTTGTATTTCGCTATTTGTCATACTAATCAAATTACTCTAGTTAGTTTGTAGATTTTTAAATAGGCTATTTACCCCCCTCTAGCTATATTAGGACCTTTGAACATCGGAGGAGTTAGCGCGATGCAACGAAAACACACCCACGCGCGCGCAATAGACGAAGGCAAACGCAAAAAACGCTCGGCCAACGTGCGCCATGCAACCACACAGTGCCATGCAAACGCACACACGCAACAGACAGAGGCAAACGCTAAAATCGTGCACGGCAAAAATCGAAGCGCATGACAAGAAATTGCTCCCACGAAGAATCGAACCTGGAACCTCAAGCCTCATGAGTTGCTGCGCTAACCAATCAAGTTGTGTGAGGTTGTTGTCTACGAAAGACCCGCAACCGTATTTAATAGGGTAGACAGAAAAAACTCTACCCTAATTAATCACTCCTAAATACTGTCATAAACGACTTTTTTACTAGTATGGAGGGATTACTTATTTGGTATCATTGAATAACGGGAAGCGAGTATTCTTTTGAGGACGGGGGAGATGTTTTCTTTTGTTCGCTCGGACAGATTTATCATCATTACACTCTCTAAACATGATTGTATTTTTCAGTAAGATTAAGATAGCATTAGGATACCAATTGTCTTCTCTGATATCCTGGTTTCTTCTTGCCCAAAAATGTAATGATAGAGCTTTGCTTCGGTTGTGACTTGTGAGCACTGAGCAGCCACCACATGTACATTGCCATCGTGTCCCGCTATTCGCCATTTATTTACTGTGTCTAGGTGACTGGGTGCATGAGGCAAGCTGCGGAAAACGACGCGGCATCGCTCCGGCTTCGCACACGGACAAGCACGCGTCGAGCAGATGCAGCCCAACGGCTCACGAGGCTCCAAAAATCAACTGCAGAGCCACGCCACCCGAACAAACCCAACGCGCATGGATCGTCGCAGTCTTGATCATCAGTGCTCAGTGGTAATGATGAAAAAATGCACACCACACGACATACTCGTGCCATTTAAAAAGCATGTTAGTGGATTAGCACTTGTTTT